TATACAGCAAAAGTATATCAAGAAAACCTTTAATATTTGCATATTCAGATTCAGACTGGGCAGCTAATGTCAATGATAGAAAAAGCATGTCAGGAGGCATAATATATTTTCTAGACAATCCAGTTTCATGGTATGCAAGGAAACAGAGCACTGTTTCATTGAGTAGCACTGAGGCAGAATATGTTTCATCAACTGTTACATGTTGTGAATTACTGTTCACAAAAAACCTAGCAGAAGAATTGTTGAACGAGAAAATAACTGGTAGTATATTATATATTGATAACCAGGGACCTATATGTATTGCTAAAAATTCATTTAAAGGAAAAAGGTCTAAGCATATCGACAGAAAATATCATTTCATTCGAAATCTAATTGAGAACAATGTAATTACCTTACAGTACATAAATACAAAATCAAATTGTTCCGATATTTTCACTAAAGCTCCTTCAAATGAAATATTTTTACGTCTCAGGAATATGATAAAAATTCAAGAATGTTGAAAGTAACTAATGCTTAATTACCTTTTATATATTGTAAATTGGTGCATTTATACTTTAGGTATTCATGTGAATCATGTATTTTATTTGTGAATTTTATTTGAGTTATTGGAAAGTTTATGAATACTTCAATATGTAGATATAAGTTGTAAACTGTTCAGTTGTATTATGAACTAGTATTATTATTATTTCTTTTTGTGCAATTTAATTTTGTTCAATTATTCAGATTATTTTTGTTTATGTAGTTGACAATTTATCCAAATTTAATACTTTTATAAATGTTGTATAAATTGAGAGGGGGTATTGAAATGTTGCCTATCCTGATCCCCAAACATATTGTAAATCAGGTTGGCTACCATGAAAGTAATAATAAAGTTGTCATTCTGTTCTGCACATGAAGCGGTGTTTTACTTTCTTAAATAATTATTTACACTTATTTAATTATACTCTGCAAGTCTGAAAGTTTATTCAAAAGGTAGATAGTAAAAGAACTCGAGGAAGATCGCCACTCAGATGGTCAGACCATTAATGTGCGCTACCGGTTACTCTCTGTCTTAGACAGCACACCGCGCCCAGGAGAGAGAAGAATGGATAGCAACCATTCGTCAAATACCATAACGTCACCACACCCTTACGAAGGATAAAAGATAGAGGAGGAGGAGGAAAAATTTAAAAGAATATCTGTCTAAAATTGCCTATCTGTTAAAAGAATATTTTATAATAATTCTCGTTTTAAAATAATTTCATATAAATGGCTTTATTATTTTTAAACATATCATTTAGTTTATATAATAATTAAATTTACTATCAAATGATATTTATTTATATTTTATTAGTAATATTTGGCCTGAGTTTGACAGCTTTGTCATACGTAATCGTATGCTTTGTTACAGGTGGCGTTAGGAGCAAACATAATAATTTATTAAATTTGTTTAAAAAATAATAAATAAATAAATAATAAAATTACTTTATTTAAATTTTAAAAATACAGAAAACATAGTATGAAGCTTCGCGCTAGTCTACAGTACCGCATACTGCTTCACTTTTTTTGCATCTGACAGTCATTCTCTGGACAACATTTTTTAAATGTGACCCAATTTAAGTATTAAAGACAAATAGGACAACTCATCTAGTCTTTTTTATATGAATTATTAAAACTTGAGTATATTTGCAGTTGTCCGGCAGAAGGGTAGTCGAGAAATCGTTGATTTAATCTAACTTTTACCCTCATAACTTTTTATGTGGTGCATATTTCTCTAAAAGCTAGACATAAATAGAAAGTGAAACTATTTTGACAATTTACTATTAAAAAAAAAGGGTCAGTAGGCGGTGCTGTAGACTAGCGCGAAGCTTTATATTAATCAACAAAATTGCTCTTTTTACTATTCTCTTTACACTTTCATAATACTTTCAATCAAATTTATATTTAGCAGCGGTTTTTGTAGGTGTGTCTTTTTTAACTTTTTTTCATGCTTTATCGCATTTATTAGTAAGATCTTTTTTACGTTTTCTGTATGAACCATGTTTTCTGATGAAACATTTCAAAAATCGAAATAATAAATTATGGTATTGACAAAAATTATATATTGACATTTTGTTTACCTAACGGCCACCCCCTCGTTAGATACACAAATGGACTATTACGCTGTGACTACAAAATATGAAAATGTTTTACTAATAACCTTTTTTATCGTACTTTAATGCACGAACTGATAATTGCAAAAATTCAACATTGTATTTATATTTATATGAAATTATGAAACTACCATGATGTAAAATCGAAACTGATGGGAAAATAATAAAGCAGGAAGTAAGGTTTAAATATATGGGAATAGATATAACTAGTTATGGAGATTTTGAACAAGAATTATGACAATAAAGCTTAAAATCAAGTAAAGCGGCGGGATCCATTAATGACCCAATTTGGAAGAACAAACACCTAAGACAAGACACAAAAACAAGAATCTACAAAGCAGCAATTAAACCTATATTGTAACGAATATATTTTGCCTACCACACAGGGTATTACTATGGGGGTTGAAAATTTGGGAACAGAAACTATGGGGGTGGAGATAGGGCAAGCAAAATAATCGATACTTATCCGCAAGGCACTCAGGGTTTGTTTGGAGAGCTGGAGTCGTAAATAAGTAAATGGCAAGGACGTTGGATTGTGTACAAAAAAATGAAACAAAGGGGTTACTTACATAGGTCTCTGTGAATAAATAGGCAAACAGTTACAAAAATAAATGGCACAAAGATTTTTATATCAAAAATAACAAAGAAAACTTACATGTCATACGTTTACAAACTCCAGGAGTTGGAGATACTACAAAAATATACAAATGTTACTGCATGGAGGTCAACCTTCTTTAAAAACAAAACAAACTAATAAAATAATAAAGCTAGCTGTCATATGTTAACATTAAACTTAGAACATGGGAACAAAAAAATTGACAGCTACAGTCAGACTCTAAAATTTACAATTTTAAATATTACAATTCCTTTAAATTATGCAATTTTGAAAGCAATTATTACTTTAAAAAATCTATATTTACTTAAAGATTTAATCACAAAAAAAGTTACCTGAATTCACCAAAAAAAATTGCACTAAAATTTCTGGGGTTACCTTCTCTGCCAAGCAAAATCTGCATCTCCAAACTGTGGAAAAAATATCTCGAAACGGTCGCTTAGGACATTGAGGATTGAAATGGGCGATACTAGATACAACTTCAGACTGATCTTCTTAAAAAAAACAGGAAACTGGAACATCAAATTGCTGCAGGCGACAAAAATTTCTTAAATACTTTTTCAACCTCTTTTGTAACTACACATACTGCACAATTAACTTTACACTGCTACGCATTTTCCATGAAAAGGGGCAAAATCAGGAAACTTTACAAATTCGATGAATAAATTTGGATCCACACTGAAGCCGACTACCTCTGACAGCGACCCAAGTGAGAATGTCGCAATTATCTTGCCGGCAATAACTTGGTATACACAAAACACTTACAACGAGAACGGAAACGCAAAATATCCTATTTCTTCGATGTACAAAAATTCCAAAGCCACTTCGTATAAAACATTAAAAGAAATTCCGAGGAAGTACACATCTGTAAAATGTAAACAAACTCTAAAATGTGTTTATATTCACTCTTGCGACGTCAAAAGGAATTAAATATATTTCGGTTATTTTAACTTTTACGATAGGAAACTGAAATCCACTAAAAATATTCTTCGATTTTTTAAACAACTACGAGGGGATTTCAATTTAATACGTAAATGCAAATGCTACAATATTAACATACACAGCGGAAACAAGGCCTGACACATCTAAAACGAGACGACTACTGAAAACAACAGAGATGAACATACGAATATCAGATAGGGATACCTCTATTGGATAGGGAGAGAAGCAAAAACATAAGAAGAGCATGCAATATAGAAGACATAAATAGATGGGTAAACGGAAACAGTAGTCGAATACATTAGTAGAACGGCAGATGATAGGACAGTACGAATAGCACGAGATAAGTCACCAAATTGACAAAGAAGTATTGGCAGACCAAGACAAAGATGGTGCGATAATTTAAACAATTTAGGAGGGTAATATTGAAGAAGAAGCAGGCTTTAAAGCCTACATACAAGAAGGAAGAAGAAGAAGAATAAAATTATGAAAATATAAATAAATATTATTTGATAGCAAATAAGATTATTGTATAAACTAAATAAATCGTTTAAAAATAACAAGTTATATTAAAAAATATTTTTAAAATTTAAATAATATATTTTAAAATAATTTTATTATTTATTTATTTTTTATATTTTAAACAAATTCAATAAAAATATTGATTTCTCGTAACTCCCCTGTTAACGTATTAACAAAGCATACCTACGTTATTGACTTATGACAAACCTGTCAAATTCAAACCATAATTATTAATAAAATATAAAATATAATAATAGCATTTGATAGTAAATTTAGTTAGGTATCATATAAACTAAATAATATGTTTAAAAATAATAATTGTATTTATATGAAATTATTTTAAAACGAGAATATAAACCATGAGAAGATATTGAAAATGTTTTAAGAGGCCTAATGAATTATTACATGAGACATTAAATTTTGTTCATGCGAAGAAGCTCCATAATAAAATAATGAGAGGTCTAGTGGATTTTTACGACATGGCATTAAATTTTGTCCATGCCAAGAAGACTGTAAAGTGTTTTGGCACCCAACGGCTCCATAATACAACTAAATATTCTCCCCACTCTTTGTATTAATGTAAAAAGAAAGTAGTGATCTTTAAGATGCATCTATTTGAGTGCGCGCAAATGTGTTGGATTATCACGACGTAACATAAAAAAAATAAATCAATTGCATCTAAGACAAAATTAGTATTAAAAAATAACTAAAATATGTTGCACCAGAAATTTTTCAAAAAATTGTCCATCAAATATGTATTTGCCTACAAAACCACAAATTCTTTAAAAATTTACCTTACAACATTTGTACAATCATATTCTCCACCAATTCCCACCTCTAAAATAGCAACATCCACTTTATGATCCAAAAATATATGAAAAGCTAATATCGTCATGAATCGAAAATATAATGGCATATCTGCGGGAGAATCCTAAAAATTAAGAAAAAATATTTACATATTACCTAATGATTTATCACATAATTATTATTAATAAGCAACTGACTTAATGTATACGTTGGAAAAAGATGGCGAATATCATTGGAATAATGGCCATATATCCATACTAGAAATACCGGACACCGAAATTGGTATTCTGGATAAGTGATTTAGTACTTTTACTATATCTCACATGTCTTTCTACAAAAATTAATGGGAAAATCCCAGTAGTTGATTGTATACCATAGTTTAAAAACTTATACAGAAGTAAAACACTTTAAATTTGTATCTTGGTATAAAACATTTGATTTAAAACTTGTTAAAAGTGTCGTCCAAAATTTATAGATACAAACGTTTTCGATTTAGCTCAGATCATTCTCAGTTCTTTTTTGTACTTAAAGCTAACACTAAAATTGTAGCGGTGACATAAATATATGGTTTTACAAATTTAAAAATTTAAATTCTAATGCGACCGTAGGTCGATGACAATGGATAAAGATTTTAATACTTAATGAGCAACATGTTTCTTTGCTCGGCTCGAACACGTGGTTCTTGTCAGTTAAAACGACACAGACCAACTCAGTTTGACACGTGTTCAAGTCGAGCCAAGTCAGACAAGAACCACGTGTTCAAGTCGAGCAAAGAAACATGTCGCTCTGTAAGTATTAAAATCTTTATCCATTGTCATCTAACTAGGGTCGCATTAGAATTGGTCGCATATATGTAAAACCATATATTGATGTCACCGCTACAATTTTAGTGTTAGTTTCAAGTACAAACAGAAGGAACTGAGGATTATGTGAGCTAGATATAAAATCTCCATTGTCTTATGTTCATCAGAAATGAACATAAGACAATGGAGATCTGAATGAAAGGACATAGCCAGACAGGTAAAGACCCATCCAGGGTTATGATGCCAAAAGAAGAAGAAGAAGAAGGTCTCATCAGAACAGTTATTCAAAGGTTAGATTCCCCACGTCTCTTTTAACACCTTTATCAACGTCTGTTTTGCTTTGCAATTTTTAGAAAGCATAGATTAAAGCGGAAATCTGAATTGTATTTCGAAACTAGTTTACGGTTTTATTGTCAGATGTCGCTAGTGCGTCCGTATCGAAGCCATTTTACTGTTGCTTCTTAAAAGACAGAAAATATTGATCTTTCACGTTGAGAACACCTTTGAATAACTGTTCTGATGAGACCTATTAGGTCGAAATACGTATCAACAGATACAAAGGCACAGTTTGCGTGAAATCAAATATTTGCTGTCTTTTCACTTTATTCGGATCTACTCTGTAAGAGTACTAGAAACCAATTCGCTAAGGATTTCTGCTTAGTTGAAAAGACGTGTTGTGGAAAGCAAATTTTAGATTCCCCACGTCTCTTTTAACACCTTTATCAACGTCTGTTTTGCTTTGCAATTTTTAGAAATCACATATTAAAGCGGAAATCTGAATTGTGTTTCGAAACTATTTTACGGTGGAATAGATTTTGTTTTCATACGGAGTAGTGGCTATACCCCTCTGAGGAGACCTAAAGAGGTCAAAATACGTATAAGCGGCTCGTCGCTGCTCTGTATTGAACCAAAATCTAGTACCGTCATTATGTACTATTGCAATGGTTACAGAAGCATCGTTGAACAATATTTATATGAAATAAAAAAATATATGGTTGAATGCTAGAATATATGAACTTTACAAATAAAAGACCGATTTCGAGCACAGTTTTTTATTAAATCTCGCCCAAGTACTTTCACCCTAAGAGCATCTTCAGGGGCATTACGTCAAAAATGTTGGCTATCCAGCACGTCATTGAATGTTATATACATTAAATACATTTACACAAAAACTAACACTAGACTAAGAACAAACAGTTTGTCTGACGGTGTGGCTTACAAAATAAGAATGGGTATGGAAAATACACGCAAGGTATTCCAAGAGGAAAAGACTTTGCGAAAAGTAGCAAAAACTGCCTCTCTGCAGCTCAAAAAAAGAGTATGAGAGGTGCAAAAATGCCTGCAAATCTGCGTAAATCCACAGTGGAAGTACCAGCAAAACAGGAGAGTATAAAAGAGACCTCTGGAGAAGACCGTTACCCCCAGTCCACGTAAATTGTTGCTAAAAAACCAAGCAACATCAAATATTCAGGATTACGGTGGCACACAAACACTATCCTGATACTGGAACAACCACCAAACTTGAACAAGCAGTGAATGAAAGAAAATCTTATTGGAAGAAAATCAAGTGCAATTCCATAAAATATTGTTTAACACAGGGCCCTTTGGGGAACTGTGCCAATGAATACACAAAACAATGGACTACTGAAGATGTGAAATCTAGGGAGGACCTGTGGGAGGGAGCAGACTTGAATATTGTCGATTCCAATAAAGCCCAAAGGCTGAGGAAAACAATCAGGGCCCATCTAGAGTGGCAAAATCAAGATCCTAAGATGAAAGACTGATTGTTGAAAAATCTGAAGATCGGGGAGGATATGAAAATCCTCGTATACAAGATTGAACAGGTTTTCCTAAAAATATAGAAAGCTGCTAATTTTAAGGCGTACTACAGACTTGGAAAAATATTCTTCAAAACTATCAGAGACATGGCTCCTATAAGAGTACTGTAGGTGAACCTCCAGCATAGTAAGGCAGCTTCGGCAGAACATAGAAAATGGCATAAAAAGGAGAATAGGCACATCAAACGTGCTAGAAAACAACAAATAAAAATCTATGTAGATTAAACGACACAGAATAAATGAGCAATTACAATCAGAAAATGAGAATGACTATGGATTGATTATACATTAAGAGCACCTACATCAACTATTTGCTATTACTAAACAAACTTAACATCACAAAGCTCCAGAAAAGAAAATCACCATGAAATGAGGCAGAAAGGATAGAAATAAATAGAGAAGAATAAAAAAGTTGGTAAACAAGATTGGACTGGGTTCAACAGGTGTTGTATGATATTATTCGCCTCTCATCAGTACCTTTATGAAATTGAAACATGTGAAACATTTGCTGAGAATTATGATGATATATGATGTCATGATTCAACTGTTCAAAAAAACACCCATCTCAGAATTTGCTAGACTCCACAGACTTTGATGAGATGGTCATGTAGTGAGGAGTGAGTGATTATCACAGGTTGCTCAGGGCCCCAGACAATGAAATTCAGTGTAGAAGATCAAAAGAGACAAACTGATTGAATTAGTACTAGACACAAAATTTGATAAATGTCAGAATTTTTGTGAACCTGCACCTTCACATTTTGGACACAGAAATTATAGAGAGCCCATCTTAATAGATTCAAGGCATGAAACAGACGTAATAAACTGCAGAAGTTATAGAGGCGCAAACATAGACTCAAATCATTGCCTAGTGATCTCAACATTAAGGGCTAGAATGTCAAACACCAGTAAAGAAAATAAAATGGATATAAAAAAAGGGAATTTGCAAAAGCTGAGAGATGCGACAATTGCAGAACGGTAGATACTTGGAAAACATCACCAACAGGCTAACGAACCAAAATGTAAATGAAGAAGGCCAGACAGATATAGACACCCTACTGAACCAGAATAAAGGAAGACATTGAAGCAGCAGCAAAAGATGAAATAGGAACAGAAATGTGTGCCCGTAAAAATCATTGGTTTGTCGATGAATGCAAGAACTTTAATATATAGAAAACCTCAACAGAGAGAAATAATTCAAAGCATTCTGGAAGAAAGTTAATATCAACAGAAAAGAATTCAAGGCAACCAAAAGACAATGCAGAAGTCAGAATGGCGACCTATTGACAACAAGGAAAGATGTATTGAGTAGATGGGTAGAATACTTTACCCAGACACTTAATGTGAAGGAAGAAGAAAACCTGGAAAAAAGACAAAAGAGATAGGGTAGGCGAGCACACGAGAGGGAAGAGGAACCACCAACGATTCTTGAAGTTAAAGATGCAGTTAAAAACTAGCCAGAAACAAATCACCCGGAATAATCTCCCAGCTGAACTATATAAAGAAGGTGGCCATGATATCATTATGGCACTACAGCAGCTTACAAAAGAAATATGGACACAGAAATCTCTCCTCAATGATTGGAATATTGGAATACTTTGCAACATACACAAAAAAGGAGATATCTTTGAATGCTCCAACCATAGAGGAGTTACGCTTCTAAATGCAGCGTATAAAATATTTTCCACAGTACTATGTCGCTGTATAGCACCATATGCAAAACGGATAGTAGGAAAATACCAGACTGGTTTCAGAGGTGGTAAATCTACAATTCATCAAATTGCAACCCTGAAACAAATTTTGTAAAAAACACTGGAATATGAGATTGATACTCATAGATTACAAAGCAGCCTATACGACTCAGTGAATAGAAGAGAAATGTTCAAAGCAATGGAAGAGCTAGGAATACCAAATCAGTTGGTAAATTTAACAAAACTAACTCTTGAAAAAGTTGAATGTAGAGTATGAATTCACTGGGAACTGTCTGAACCTTTTAAAATAAATAATGTATACTGTTCAATCTGGCCCTGAAAAAAGTAATACATATGTCACAAATCACAACCACTGGTTCAATATATAATAAATCAGTGCAAATCCTGGCCTTTGCTGATATCAATATTGTTGGGAGAATGGAGAGGCGTATGTAGCACTAAAAGAATCAGCTACAAAAATGGTTTTAATCTTAGACCATAAAAACTGATAGACGCGCCGTAATGCTATTCTCTCGTCTCGAAGAGTGAAGCCAACATAAAACGATTCACACAGCTGTGGGTGACGTCAGTTTGAGGCAGAAACGGTAGAGATTAGAAGTCTTTATACGAGTTGTAAACTTTTGAAAGTGTTTTAATTTAAAAATTTTCCAATACATTAATATTTTAATTATGGTGGCATCTTGCAGTGCATTTAATTGTACGAAGCGACAAAAAAAAGGGACATATATATCATTTCATGGGTAAGTAAATTCACAAATTAAACTTGAAAAACATACCAGAAATTTAGCACCTATTATTTTACTTTTTCCTCTCAAAGCGTTTAAAATAGATATATATGAGAGAAAGTCTTATTATATATAATTTTCATTTTATAATTAGATTGAAAACTAAAGGATTAAGTAAATAAATTGTTTTAGATTTCCAAAGATTCATCATTGCAAAAAAAATGGATTATAGCGACGCGCCGTGAAAAGTTTAAACAAACAAAGAGTTTTAAAATTTGCTCCAAACATTTCACAGCGGATTCGTATATTACTAGTGGTTGGAGTTCAAAAAAACAACTAAGAAAAGATGCTGTACCTAGCATTTTCGATTTTCCAATCCATTTAATTAGGCAAGTTACAACTAGAAAATTTACAAAAAATAGAAACTATTTCAGTCAAACCAACAGGATCTAAAAGGGAAGATATAAATATAACGAGTGAATCTACCACCATAAAGACTCCAGTAGAAATTTCAGACGAAACTACCTTAGAACCTCCCTTGAAAAAGCGAAGACATTATCTTGGTGACTTTGAACAAGGATCATCTAACAGAGACCAGGGATATAAAGTAGTAGTCAACAAATTAATTCAAAAGAAACACAAACAAATCAAAATGTTGCAACAACGAAATAGAAGGCTTATTAAAAAAGTAAATACCTTAAAATCTTTATTAGAACATCTTAACGAAAAACAGATGATCGACGAAGATTCTTCTCTTTCTTTCGGTAAGGAAAATTATTGATTCATGGAACTTGCCGAGAGGCTACTTTTTAATCGGGGTTACCAGGTGTTCAAAAAAGTAATCTAATAAAAATGTGCTTAAAAATAATGCACGAAGCTAATGTCACAATTACCAGTTTAACGTTTGATGGTGCAGCGTCAAATATTAGCATGGTTAAACAACTTGGAGTTGATTTATCGTTTAATTCCAATAAAGTATATTTTCTACATCCAGCAACAAATCAACCAATATAAATATGTAATATCTGATCCTTCACATATATTGAAACCTATTTGCAATACTTTAGGTTATTACAAATTTTTTTTGACGGGAATAATAAGGCGATTAAATGGGAATATTTGCAAAAATTAGTAGACATTCGAGAAAAGGAAGGCATTTATCTTGCAACTAGGATAACGCGAAGGCATTTAAATTGGTATAAGGAAAAAATGAAAGCGAAATTAGCTGCCCAAACGTTCAGCCATAAAGTTGCTAAGGCAATAAATTATATGAGAAATAAAATCTCAAACGAATTTGTACATGTCGAAGCTACTTAAAATTTCATTGAACATATCAATTGATCTTAAATGTCATGAGTAAGGTTCATGGTTCTGTGTTTAACGCATACAAAAAACATATGTTTGATCATGATTTTAAAACAAACCATTTGTTTAATCTAATAAAGATAATTTGTTTCCATTATTGCAACATTAGATTGTATCACAAAGGTGAAAAACTAAATAATGTAATAAGAGTTAAAAGTAAGTTAAAAAAAGCTATTTTGTTTTATGGTCAATAAATTAATAGATTTCTTACATATTTTTTACCTAACCTGAAACTTCCACCCAAAAGAAAATTTACCTTCCTTTAAATTTTATTTTTGAATATCAAACAAGAAGAGATATACCAACGATATATATAATAATATATGTAGGTATGTACTTTCAAATAAATCATTTATTTTTACAATTTAAGGCAAAAATATTTATTAATTACTTTGCTAAATAATTTATCTTCCATATTTTTTACAAAATATTGAAGTTATATTAAAATTAATCTAAAATTGGGTAATTATACTAGTGCTTTGCTAAGAATCCAAGCGGGCTCTTGCCGCATTGTGACGTCACTTTCGCGGAAGGTCTTTGCTTCAACGGTTCGGTACAAGGCGTGTCTATCAGTTTTTATGGTCTAAGGTTTTAATCATAAACACCAACAAAACGAAGTATATGAAAATAAGCACGAAACCACAAATCCTACGACCACTCGTTATAGAAAATGACGTCATCGAAGCAGTGAACGAATTTGTATACCTGGAAGCGCTCCTTAACACTGAAAATAATACTACCGCAGAGATAAACCGCAGAATTTGCACGGCCAACAGATGATATTTATTTTGGGCTCAATCTTCTCCTTAAATCCACAATTATATCGAAAAATACAAAACTAAAACTCTACAAACAATAATAGGTCCAGTCGTCACATATGGTTCAGAGACCTGGACTCTAACAAGAAATAATGAAAACATGTTAGGATGTTTCGAAAAGTACTAAGGCGAATCTATGGAGCAGTGAATGACAATGGAGTGTGGAGAAGACGATACAACTTCGAACTTTATAGAATATACCAGGAACCTGATATCGTAAAACATATTAAGATAGGACATCTGAGGTGGATAGGACATGTAATGAGGATGAAAAAAAAATGACCCAGCTAGAAAAACGCTTCTTGATGGACCCATTGAACAGAAAAGAAGAGGAAGATCCAGTACAAGGTTCCTTGATAACATTGATGAAGACATGAGAAATGTGGGAATATGTGCTTGGCGGAGAACGCGATGGATATGGATCACTCGAGAGAAGTTCTTGAGGAGGCTAGGACCCACGCAGGGTTGTAAAGCCAGAATGATGAATTATAGAGAGCCAGAGAAGAATTTGAAGTAATTGGAAGAATATTTCCTATTCCTGTCTCTACATATTTGCTTGGTGTTTTGCACTTCAGTCATATTTTAAAGTATACTTCTACTAATGCTGTATGTAATATTTTCTAATAATTTCTTGAACGCTCACATGGTCTTGCAGAGCTATAATTCCTTATATTACGTATGTTTTTTTATGGCATAGACATTAGTTATTTAGCAAGTTGCAATATAGGAAAATAGGATAAGGAAACATACAGGACACTCGTTTCTAGTCTAGGGGCACATCAAGACATTTTTAGTAGACAAACAAAACAGGTCCATGGATAAGATGTTATAACATTTAGAATAAACAAAGGATGCAAATCTAAATTTCCAAAATGTTTTTGTCGACTCTGAGTGTTAAGGATTGGTTTGTTATGAATGGATAATAAACCATGACAAGTGCTTAAAGGACTTCACAAGAAGAAGTTAGACAATCTTTCTAGATGGACTGCCGAAAATATAATCGCATTACTGCAGGCAATCAACTAGTAAATTATATATAGAATCATTATGGTAAAAAGTAAATGTCAACTTTACCATGTTAACAAAATTTATGTGTTACTAAGAAACATGTCTCTTTCAAAACAGGAAATCTTGGCCAAAAAATATTTAGCAAACATCAGTTGAAAAATCAAGACGTGAGAAAATGAAAGATAAAAACAGTGAAAGTATTGTATTGACAATGGATTGACACTCAATCCTTTTATCTAATGTTTCTTCATTATATTACAGAAAAGAGTTGACAATCCACAATTTCGCTTTGTATAACTTACACACAAAACAAGGGCATTGTATTTTTTGGGATGAGTCGAAGGGGAATCTTAATAGTGCCAAATTTGCTAGTGTAGTCGTAAATATTTTAGAAAAATATACTATTACATTATTATATGGAAAAATATAAAATTACCAATAATAAGCGAGTCGTCTTGAGGAAAACATATGTAAAATAATTATTTTTAGCAATTGATGTACTTACCAAAATTGTAATGCGACTAGCTAATGCAATTTTCAAATTTGTTTAAAGCAGACATTAATAGTTATACAAAAATACCTTGAGAAAGAGCACACCCAGATGGAAGTCGACATGATGCACAGTGCAACTGAGAGACAACCAAGAGAACAAGATATTAATGTGTGTGTTGATTAGTAACTCAACTATACCATAATTTTTTAAGGATTTCAGAGCAGTAAACTCTGTAAGCAGAATTCGACCAAGTAAAAAAAAGGGTGATGAAGTTGTGACAGATATTAGAGCTACAAAATATTCACCACAAAGTATTCACTACAATATGAGATTTGTTGAATATTGGATTGAACTGCCTTATCAAATAAATAAGAATATGATACCCAAAAATTTTTCAGATCAGCCTAAACTTTACACAAATAGAATATCATTAAAAAATCAAACATTTGCAGTTTTTAAAAAATACCCTTGATTCCAATTACCCATTTCTCATCTGATTATTTTCTCTGATTACTCATTTTATGACAATCTCCTACAGTAACTATGCTATTTTAAGTCCTATCACATCACTATTGTACTAACTTGTTTTTATTTTTATGCAATTTTATTTTAGATTAAAATTTTCCTTATTTTTTTTCAAAATGCGGCTAATTTTCATTTCTAACGTAATAAAAAAACATTAAGTTTTATGTTTTTATGTTTTTGAATACTATTACTTAATCTATATTTCAATATTAGGATATTTTTTGTGTGTTAAAAGAATCAAAAGAAGAAAAATCTGTAACTCCAAAGTTTCTGTGTTTTTAGCTATATCAGCTAATTTTGAAAATTAAAGTTAAAATAAGTTGATATAACTCAGCATAATATGACTTAAAAACTCAAAATATAGTTGCTTAATCATCCTTCGTTATCAAATGAAAGATATCTGTGAAAATGTTACTGTTTTTAGGCTCTCCTATAAAATTAAGGAAAATAGAGTTATAAGTTTGTCTTGTGTTGACAATGATATGTTATCTCAAACTATATTATTCTTTTAATTTTTATGGTGCTTTCAAGTTATTTTTGATATTCCTAATGGTTTAAATTAAATAGTATTTTATGCGGGATTAAACCACAATGAATTACATTTTAAATTTGTTTTGATGTTTCAATTTCTAATCTGGACAGGATATATTTAATTAAATAAATAGTTACCTTTTGCTTGTTGAGCAAATTATAAAGTTTCCAAAAATAATTTTTAAATACTGTTTTGGATATTGGTTTTCCATTTATTCTAATTCGTTCTCGTACATCAAGAAGATGTGGTGATGAAAAAAATCCAGTTGTACAGCCATGACTTCTCAATATCTTTTCAGTATAGGCACATGTACTACCTTTCCCATTAGTCCCAGTCACATGGATGACAGACAATCTATCTAGATCAGTTACAGACAAACCAGTCCTAAAATTAAAAGTGATTTATCCATACATACTTATTAAGAATTTATCACTAAGATACAAAGTATAGAAATACTTGTAGAATAATATTTTTACTAAGGTTTAACATTAATTTACCTTCTAATTTTTTATGAGTATAAAAAGTTACAACCAAAATTCGTTTTTCTTAAAAATAAAGGAAAATTAAGACTATCATTACTTAAATTTGATATAATTTGTTTATGAAAGAAATTACTGCAGAAACGCACCTGCCTAAAAATTTAATAACTTCTGGAATATTAGATGCATTCCTTGGCTGATTTGCCACATTTTTAATATAGTCTGCATTAGTTTGAAGCTCATTTAAAGCCTGAAGTGCTTCCTAAAATGATTCAAAATAAGATTTAATAAATTATATCTGCGTTAATGTTACCTGATAACTACGCATGTTAGTCATACTTCTTTCGAGTTGATTTGCAGTATGATGATAATGACGAGATAATGCTTTTTTTATACTGTTAATTATCTTTATACATGGAAACTTCATAGTTTTATACATAACCTATTAAAGTAACTGATGGTCAATTATAAATCATAATATAATGATAATAATAAGCATAACTGGTTTGGAATTTGTTCTTATCTAAATAATTGAACCTAATCGTTTTTTAGATATTTCAAGGCCTAACAACTATAAACAAAACAAATTGTTCTATTATTAAATATAAAGATAACAATAATTATAAATTGAATTTTAATTTTTGGCGCTCTCGTTTTTTATTGGTTTAAAATATATTTAATTGTCTAGGCATTTTATATGAAAACCTGATCACCCTGGTTCAAAACATCAAAACTTTCTTCTGTTTGACATACTGACTCATTCTTTGGGCAATTTGGTCCTGATTGACGTTTGACGTTAGAATGGTGCCTATGACTATATAAACTTTTATAACAACTCAGTAGAACTGTAATGATCCGACATTGCCAAATTGTGGATTAAATAGTTTTAATGTTTAATACATAAAGCAATCTTCAAATATATAGAAAATCTGGAATTATTGGTAGATCATAAAAGTCTCAAAAATTTGCAGCATTTTTGTTCTGTGTACTGCTCTTGTATTAAAACAAAAATATAAACAAACTTAACTACTTTCGACGTGTTGGCAACTGTGTAAATTCGTAGTAAATCCGTAGCTGTTATTTACTGGCGTGTTTATGAATGTGAAAATCTGCTTTTTGACAAGTGAAAAATAATTATTTTCCCGATTTACAAAATAGAGATTCTAATAAAGTATTACTTTATTCCAATGCCATTCAAGTTAGTGAACAATTTTCCCAGCGCCAAGTAAACAATAGACGCCATAAACATTTAAGCTGGATGTTGGACCAAAAAATGGCGATATTACAATCAATTTTTAAAAGGTTTTTCAGTATATTTTTGCATTTATCCTTGTAAAATGACGATTTTACACCTGTGTTAATATTTTCTACATTGAACACTTAATAATGGATCATGATGGGTACATCTTAATCATCAACATAGGACAGACTTTTGTGACAATTTTTACGTGAGAAAAAATGTCTAGAGGATATGGAAAATATCGTCGCGGTGGTGGGTCCCATGCCAGTTTCCACTTTGATAACTTGTTTAAAGAAAATAGCAATAGACCCTCAGCTGCTAGGTCAGCAGCTACTGTGGGAAAATGGGGGATAACCTCATTCACATCTATCCGTACTTTAAATGGTTAGTATCTTTTATTACTATAGTTCAAATTGTTTATTTACGTATTTACTGTGCAAATTAAAAGCTAACAGTTGATTTCATAATATGTAATGTTCCTAAAAATCATGAATTTAAACATATGTGGATAATTAACTAGTGTTACCATTTAGTGTGTGTTTGAAGCTTCCAAGAGGTTTCAATGGTTATCCCTGTTGAGGCTGTTACCTTTCTTGTTTTAAATTACTGTTCATGAAATTTTTAATGTAATTATGTACCCTCTCTTCTGTATAGTCATATACCTCTGTTGTTTCTAAACTTTTTGTTTACCCTTTTTTTCTTGTCCTATATTCATGTATTTTAAAAGTTAATGGTTCTTCCTGTAGTGTGCAACAAAAGTAGTTACCTGAAACAGTGTTAAAGATGCAATTGGTGCTGGAACAATTTGGAATGATCTCCCAGGCAAAGTTGTAGCCTATTATAATGGTTCTTTCCTCATATATTTAATAAACATAAGCTAGTGTAGGGATTTCTTAATTATTTTCAAAATTATCTTCTGTTTGTAATGTATAGTTACCAGAACTTTGATTAGTTTAATGTTTGTTTTTTACTGGTAAACTCATATTTGGGTCATTTAAATTTCAATTGAATTGGTTTAGAACATTTTTGTTCTATGGATTTTTATTAATTGTTTTTGAGAATACTTTATAAGCAAAGGGAATATGAAACTTTTATCTGATGCAGATATCTGATGCTTTGATCTGATGATTTTAAGTCTTGTTTCTATAACAACACTTTTGTGTAGTACATTGAGATTAAAAGCAAAGAATATAGACGCTTAAGCGTCTATATTTTTTGTTAAAAGCAATTCTATCAATATCAGGAAACAAAACACTAGGAAATAAAACATGTTTTTTTTTAAATGTTTGAGAACTTTTTTCAAGTTTTAAATCTCAGTGTTTTTTCATTTATTTTTACTTTTTAGATCTTTCCTTTTGTAATATGTTCTTTTTAATTTATATTTATACTGTTGTTCTATCGAAGATCATTATTTTCATAGTAAATTTAATTTTCCGCAAATCGCCAGGAAATTTTGACATTCCTGTCAAAATTTCTTGAAGAAAAAGTCAGGACTTCCTTACTGTAAGGAAATGATATTTCCGTACAGTTGTTAGTGTTCTACATAAATGATAGAAAACACATTGCTTATAAGGAATTAATTTATATTTTGAAACAGTATTCACTGCCTCAACCAGCTCTGGAGGAGTCCCAGGAATGGAAATTTCATCATCACTTATCATTTTACTTTCGAGAACACCAGCAATTAAATTTATAAGCGTCAAGTTTGACAATTCAACCTCAATACGTTTCCATAGTAACCCAAGTAATTTTATTAGGAATTTCAAAGCACCATTTATTTGGGAATAAAATTATCGCGTTTTTTTTAAATCAATCAATATCTGTCGAATTTTAAACGATTTGCGGAAAAATAGTATGTTTACCTCGTATGAAAAGCCACATTCCTGGACTCTGTGTTGCTAAGTCTCGGCTTGCGCCTCGACTTAGCAATCTTCACAGTCGTCCAGGAATGTTAAGCTTTTCCTACCTGGTAAACAATGTACTATTTATTGAGGTTATTATTGCATTTTCTTTGTCTTAAGACCATAAATAGACCTTTCTCAATTGAGTTGCATTTCTATTCAACATCTGGATACTGCAGTATAAGTAATTATGATTTTCATTTTTCGTAATAGTAACAATTTTACCAAAAAACAATATTGATTTGCCCAAATTGAAATAATATTCTGTTATAAACTACATACCACACAGCAACTACATTTGGTCAAAAATTAGGATGGATAAATTGTCGTGTTTCATATACAGAGTATTATTTCAACATATATGATTATGGCATTATCATTTAATTTTTAAATAGTTTAATCTTTGGGGTGTGAGTGTGTACTAAAGTGTATTTTAAAATGTTTTTGGTTATATACACAATGTGCCAAAAAATATTAATTATACCAAAGATGTGTTTTCTTTAATGAAACCCTATACATTATTATATTTTTCAATATCTGCAATAAACATAAAGAGGCTTTTATTGGCAAGAGTATCATACCAAAATTTTCATTGTGTAAAATATTATGTATAAAATATATATTTATTTTAATTTACAATAATTGAAATGGATTTTTTCTTAATAAATCCACACAATTTTTACTTTGCCTAAAAATAATACACCCATAAACAAATATTACAAATAAAAAAATTGTTATCAACATTTTATAGAACATCTACAGATAAGTACTCTTGCAAACTCTTGTATCTTGTGTTTTTTGGGGATGTGTTATACACCAGTTTAATTGATTGATTTTGGAAATGATTACTCAAAAAACCACAGTCATCAATATGGAAAGCTGCAGGTGACTAATCCAATTGCAGCCACATTATTTTCCTTATATATAAGGGAACATTAACCTCATTATCAATGGTGTTATAACTCTGTCTGCTGCATTTACTATAACTTATGTTTGTAGCTCTTGTGCCAGTATTTCCCATTGTTTCACTAGCATTTTCTCCAGATCCTCTCAACTGCATATTTTCACCTTATTCTAGGCTATCCTACAGACCTTCTCCCGTCTGGTCTTACCCAAACCAAATTGTCTATAGGGCAATTGTTACTGTGTATTCCATGTCCTGCCCATCTTAGTATATTGACCTTTATATATCTCACTAGATTTTCCTTTCCAAAGAGTGACACTTACTCATTGTTATGTCTGCCCCTCCATTTGTTTATTACACTATCTCTGCAAGGGCCATACATTAGTTAAAGGATTTTATGTTGTTTTATGTCCATATTTCGCTTCCATATGTGACTATAATCAATAATTTCAGGGAACATCAATGAGTAAATTACTATTTAACTGGGAATAAGCCACAATTAAAGGTATAAATATGTTTATTGACGTTTCAATTTCCACTTCGAAAATCATTCTCAAAATACAAACATCACTAATGTTTGTATTTTGAGAATGATTTCCGAAGTGGAAATTGAAACGTCAATAAATGTACTTTAACCTTTAATTGTGGCTTATTCCCATTTAAATAGTAATTAATTTAAAATGCCACAATAAAATAGCTTCAGAACAATATCAATAAGTAAAACGAATAGTTAGTTTACTGAACATCCACCTAACAAATACTTATGTTGATTTATTAAATATTCTAAATTTATTTCGATTTTTTTACTTCTAACGATTTTTGCTATTTATGGCAAAAAGCAAAAATTGTGTACAAAAGCTGCACTCTTCATCTTTAGAACTCATTTTAATTTTTTTCAATAAGACACTCTATTCAAAAGCTATCGAATGTTTGCTGTAGAGTTGATACAAATTTTATTTAAAAAATTGATTTTGCATGCATCACACATTTAAAGCGTATGAAGCAATTGTATGAAGAAATCAAGCGAAAAATAATCCTAGCAAACAAATGCTATTTTGGATTGAGTAGACATATGAGAAGCTAAAACTTAAGCCAAAAAACAAAAATAACCATATACAAAACCCTTATACAACCAGTGTTGACATATGGATAGGAGACATGGACCATTTCCAATGCAGATGAAAACCTCCTGCTTATATTTGAATGAAGAATCCTGAGAAGAATATTCGGTGGCATCTGTGAAAATGGTGTTTGGAGAAGGAGGTACAACTACGAGATATATCACAGATATAAATATATATTTGGTGGTAAAGATGTAGTATCTCTTATAAAAATACGAAGACTAAGATAGTCAGGACATCTGGCAAGATCACAGCAGAACAACCCTCCTAGAAGAATCCTTATCTCACAACCTGTGGGAAGTAGAAGTAGGGGTAGGCCAAAACTCATATGGAGGGATGGTGTAATGGCAAACTGGCAACAGTTAGCAATGGATAGAACTGACTGGCGTAATAGACTTGGGAAGGTTGAGGCTCTTTTATAGGGCTGGAGCACCAATGGTGATGAACACATTTAAAATCACTGGTGGCTTCAAGTGTTGTTTCTAAGAGAACAGTTCATTCTAGTGCTAATAAACGTTTTTATTCTACATTGTCTCATTCTAGTTTGAAACATTTTTTTTGTATGGCATACAGATTATTAGTAAATCAATGTTTTCCATTTCCACCACCACCTACAAGGGGCACTTTTGGGAAGAAATCCGGGGCTAGGAGTCGCAAATATTTTTGTATCTTTTTTGGGATCCCAAAATTGACATTCTCATCAAAATGTATCTTGTTTGTATGATTTTTAGAGGTTCAGTGACATTTTTTGCTACTGGAGTATTATTTTCTCCTATATTTAGGTATATACTAATTGTTGAAGAAACTAGTAGAAAAATCCAAATTAAAATCACTGAGTAAATTACAATTGACATTACTTTTAAATAATTCATCAAAACTATTCTCAAAGTTCTCTAAAAAATGCTGCATCAGAAGTAGAAAGTGAATACATGCCTCACAAAACAATCTTGTAAGAACCAAGAAATACAAATTTATGTTAATAATTGGAACACTACTTAGCTACATTTTCATAAACCCGAGAAACAGAGAATGGAGACTGTAACAGCAATGGTCACCAAAATAACAAATGAGGAAGTGATTTTCAAAAAATGAAGAAAAGTAAAGCAGTTGGACCTGATTATATTTCTGGGGAAGTGTGGACAGGATTAGGAGAAACAAGAAAAAGTTGACTAACTGGTTTATTTAATAGAATTATGGAAGTTAGACAAATGCCAGACAAATGTAGGAGCAGTATATTATTACTTGTTTACAAAAACAATGGATATATACAACAATGTACAAACTACAGGGCCATAAAACTATTGAATCCACCATGAAAATATGGGAGAGAGTAATTGATAGGCAGATCTGTGAAGGAGTCAAAATATTTGATAATCAGTTTGGCTTTCTGCAAGGCAGATCAATAATAGATGCAATTTTCATTATAAGGCAGTTAATTGAAAAATAGAGGAATAAATAAACAAATATTCATATGGTATTCATTGATCTTGAGAAAGTATATCTCTCTATCTATCATACCTCCCAAGGAACTCTATCATAGAGTTCCTTGGGAGGTTCTATGGTGGGAACTTAATAAGAAAGGGGTCCACACAGAATATGTAAAGATTGTGAGAAACATAGATGGGGAGTAACAACTATTATTAGGACTGATGTGGGAGAGACATAAATTTCATGTTAAAGTAGGATGGCATCAAGGCTTAGTTCTTAGTCCTTATTTATTCTCATTAGTTTTGGATCAGATAACAGCTAAAATACAGGGTAACATTCCCTGGTGCTTAATGTATGCTGATGATGTAGTGTTAGTAGGAAATAGTGAACTTTGGAGACAAGCTCTTCAGGAAAAAGGACAAAAACAGAGTATTTGGAATGTTCATTTAAAGATGGATTTACTATAAATAAAATGATGTCTTTGGATTGTGAAAAGTAATAGTTTCAAGTGCCTACAATTGGTATTGCAAAGTAATGGGAAAATAGATGCAGATGCATGCATGAATTACTGTTGGATTGATGAAATGGAAGGAATTCTATACAAAAACTGTTGGGTAGTTAAAAAGAAAGAGGAACAGCAAATGTATGTAGCAGAATTGAAAATGCTTAGATTTACATGGATGAGTGGAGTGACAAAAAGGATAAAATTAAGAATGAATATAATGGGGAAGTCTAGGGATGAAACCAATTGATACTAAAAATTATGGAGTATAGGTTAAGATGGTTTAATCATGTTCAACACCTAGACATTAATTACTCAATATGAAGAATTGCTAATATGTGGGTTCCTGGTAGGATTCAGACAGGAAGATGAAAGAAGACCTAGGTGGGTACGCTTAGACATGGCATATAAGTAAAGTGGATTGATATTGATATGACCTAATATGGAAACTTATGGAGAAATATAATTAAGGAAGTCAACCCCGCATAGGAATAAAGGCATAGGGAATGGTGATGATAATGCCATATATCTGAGAAGGAGTACAATTTGGGTGAAATAATTTTTAGCATCTATCTCCTTGATTTTTATTGCACATATTGAACAGTTAATAATATATATGGTATATCATTATAAACACTATATGTGGTATTTAGGAAATAAAATAAAACTATTTAAAAATCACAAAGTATTTTAGTGTCAAATAATGTGAATAATACTGTATATTTGTATTTTATATTTATTTCAAATGTACTTAGATATTTGATTTTAAATAGTTATATACTGATATTATTTTTTCTAGGTTTAAATGATTCTAAATCAGGTGCATCAGATGCAGCACCAAAACCAAAAAAATTCTTTAAAAGTAGAAATACAGAACCACCTGACTTAAGTCCATCATATTCAAAGTCTTCTTCAAATCATTCACCTCCTAAACGAGCCCGCACGACTTATGAACCCAGTGATAGGACAACTAGAGCTTCATCTCCAAGAAAATTTTTTTCTTCTAAAAGCAGGTAGAGCTAAATTTGTTTTATGTAATACAATTGTTGAATATTTATGTATTTATAATATGTAAACTAATATGTTTTTGATATAATATTTTGATTGGGGTAAAATCAGTTATATCCATTGAAGAGCTTAGCAACATTCATCAGTTTAACACCTCAGTGTACTTGTTGTGGGAAAAATAGTTTATGTTAGAAAGAATTGTACAAAGTAATTTGTATTGCTTTGTCAACTAGCTTAACTAACACAAAACAGGTTTTTTAGCCTTACATATCTTCATAAAACTGTTAATTTTGAACTAAACTCAATTTTGACAGATATTACAGTAATTTTACCAGGTGGTCCAATAAGCCGATCTCTCTGCTATATATCAGAAACTATTCATGTTATAACTTTAGGAGAAAAAATGCCTTAGTAAAAGTGGCCAAGAGAAATCGCTGGAAATAACTTTCAAGTTTCTGGGTTAACCGCTAGGGGCGTAACCTGTGAAGAAAACTTTGAAAACCAGTTTTTTGGGAACTATGCCCAATTATACCAAGTGTTAAATAAGTAAACTAGAAAGAGGCCTAAATTCCGCACAAAGTTGTTCAAGTACTTTTTGTTATTTTTTCAAATAAAGGGTGGGGGAGAGTGGGAAAGTATTTGTGGATATATACCTATAACTTTGGTTTAGATCAAACGATTTTAACGAAATTAATGTCATTAGAAAGAGTGTGGATGATTTAATTTACATCAACTATAACAATTGCATTTAGTTTTAATTGTCATGGGTAGAGGATACTTTCGAATAGAAAAAAATAACATTTGTTTTTGTTCAATTGGAAACACCTATTTATTGTAAATTATAATGGAACTGGATTAAATTCGTAACAAAATGGCGCAAACCGCATGTTGATAGCTTTTGTCGAACTCTAATTATGAATAAAAACGCATAAACATAAGTAAGTATAGTATTTATTGACTCACCCTTTATTATAACTTAAAATTAAATATGTGAAAGATCATACAAATATCTCGATTATTAAAACTTAATGTCCAATTAAATAGCAGCTGCTTCAATTTCAGCTGTTGATATACTATTTATTGCGTTTATAATGCTCTGTTTCATGTCGTCTCGCGTGGTTGGTTGAGTTTTGTACACTAAGTCCTTCAATCTTCCCCACAGATATAAGTCCAGACATGTTAAGTCTGGAGATCTAGCTGGCCATGAAAATATACTCCCTCTCCCAATCCATTTATTTAGATAACTTGCATACAAATAATCTCAAAATACCATATCTCTTATTTGTAAGGAAATATTTTCCAATAAAACAGGCAACTGATTTTCCACAAAATCCAAATATGTTTTGTCATTTAAAGTTCTATCAAAGAAATATGGACCTATGATCTTTCCATCAACCATACCACACCAAACATTAAGACTCCATCTACCTTGAACCTGCACCTCATGTATCCAGTGTGGATTTTCTTTAGCCCAATAATGCATATTATGCAGATTAACACCAGCCGCACTATTAAACCTAGCCTCGTCTGTCCACAAAATCTTTGACATGATATGCAGTTGTTCTTCTAGCTGACCTAACATCCAATTGCAGTAATCAAGCCTTACATCAAAATCTCACTCATATAAAGCTTGGTGGAGAACTACATGATAAGGATGTAGTCTAAAGAACAAGCAAACAACAAATATTGGTGAAAAAGAAACCACTATATTTACTAAAACTCAAAAAATCTTGAAAAAACCACAATTGTTTCACAAGATAAATCGTGCAAAATATTTTTAAGAAACGGTTAAAAGGATAAAAGAGTCGTTTTTATCGGAATATTAAAATAACAGTTGAATCTGAAGTTTAAGGGGAATTCCAAGTTTCTGACCTAAATGTTCACTTTATAATATGAAAAACCAACCTGTGATATTTTAAAATCGTTAGAACAGTAGTTTTGGGTATGTTTAATTCTATAGAGATTTGCTGACTACTTATATGTGGATTCTGCTGAATTAAAGCAAGAACATTGATTGAATTATCTTCGGTCATACCTCTACTATGTCATTTAAAACAAGGAGAATGCAAACTACCAGTTTCTCTTAATCTTCTTGCCTTTCTCTCAAATACTTCTTTGCTATAATGTCTCCTGTCAGGATATCTTACAGAATATATACGTGAGGCAATAGCGGCATTTTGATAACCTTCGAAATAAACTCCAATCATATCATACAATTCTGCATTTGATATACTCATTGCGAATTATTAGTACTGATAATTAATTACTAATATTACCAATATTAATATCTATTGAAAAAAGTGCAATCTTTAATTCGAATTATAACACTTCTTAACAATGTTTTGACTGCTTTCAATAAATAAACAATATGAACTCCCCGTCAAATTCATTGTCGTATCCTACTTAGTTTCGAAAAAAGTACTTACTGACTTATTTTTTTAATTTAATTTATAATACAGGGTGAGTCAATACTATACTTACTTATGTTTATGCGTTTTTATTCATATCTCCAATTCGACAAAAGCTATTAACATACAGCTTGCGCCATTTTGCTACGAATTTAAACCAGTTCCATTATAATTCACAATAAATAAGTGTTTCCATTAAACATTTTGAAGAAAAGCAAATTTTAATTTTTTCTATTCAAAAGTACCCTCTACCTATGACAATTAAAACTAAATGCAATTGTTTTATAGTAGATGTAAAATAAATCATCCACATTCTTGCTAATGACACTAAATTCGTTAAAATCGGTTGATCCAAACCAAAGTTATAGGTATTTATCCACAAATACTTTCCCACTGTCCGCCACCCTTTATTTGAAAAAATAAAAAAAGTACTTGAACAACTTTGTGCGGAATTTAGGCCTCTTTCTAGTTTACTTATTTAACACTTGGTATAATTGGGCATATTTTCCAAAAAACTGGTTTTCAAAGTTTTCTTTACGGGTTACGCCCCCTAGTGGTTAACCCAGAAACTTATTAAAATAAAATAAAAGTTATTTCCATCGATTTCTCTTGGCTACTTTTACTAAGGAATTTTTTCTCCTAAAGTTATAACATAAATAGTTTCTGATATATAACCGAGAGATCGGTTTATTGGACCACCCGGTATATTAGTTCCTCATTTGATTATTGTTTTTGACCATGAATTTTAGCATTTCAACAATGCATATTCAATTGGAATGTCCTAGTTTATTTTTAAATTAGAAACTAGATAATCAGATACATATGGGACCTACTATTGGATTATTTAATATTACAGACACCTGAAGGTGTTGTTCATAAATTGAAAATAATTACTGATGAAATACATAAAACAAACATATTATTTTTATTTGTCCTCTTTTATTGGTAAACAAAACATAACTGTTAAACATAATTAAATAAACTGGAAAATTTTAAGATTTTTGACATAATATGTAGTTAAAAGATCGAAAAAAAAACCTTGTTAAATAAGGTTATTTATGTTATAATTCACAGGCTACTCTAATTAAGCTTTTTCTTTAGTGGCTCTATACATACATTGTACACTGTGACCAGTGTAGCAATGTTGTAGTAGTCAAAGTTAAAGTCAAAGTTAATGGCGGGTGACAGTAAATTACTTTAAAGCTACCTAAATATCGTCATCAGATGTGTATTTCACACTTGCTTTAATTTTTAATTCCGTAATTTATTTTCTTATTCATCCCTTCATCAGTAAAATCAGTTTTAACGACTACCTCTAACAAAAACTTTATTAAGTACACTGCGTGCCATGAAAAATAGGCCACCTAGAATTTTGTAAGACTTTTTCAATAACTTTAAGTTTATACAATTTATTCTATTGTAACTAAATTCACACAATGCAGAAACACTTTTGGCGTCTTTTAGGCACCGACAAACGGTGCCAACAGGTCAATTAAGGGTAATAAGTTTGCAGCATTGATATCAGTTTTACGATTTCGGATAATGCACGTGTTGTTTGTATCTTATTTTTCTTGGAATATGGCTATTTTATTTTTCAAAAATCTTTCACTAGTGTACAGTTGTTCGAAGAGTAAACTTGTGTAATTTTTAAATTAAAAACTATGGCTGAGAAATTTGCTAGATCTGTTTGCAAATTGTTACTTTGATCAATAATGGAATGAATCAAAGATAAGTGGCCAGACAGTTTTGAGTCAGTCGTATGGTCCAAAAAATTTACCAACGATTCGTAGAGACTGGATCTCACGAACGACGACCAGGATCAGGCCCGAGAAGAATCACGACGGCCAGAGAAGACCGTTCGTTACAACGCACTTCTTTGCAAAATCGGTTCTTTACAGCTAGATCAATCCAAAACCGTTTTCAAAATGGATGTACTTTACGGAGAAGAAGGTTGAGGGAATTTGGTCTAAGGGCTCGCTGTCCAGCAACAAGACCTTTGTTAATAGCAGCACATCGACAACGCCGACTACAGTTTACTAGAGACCACGAGCATTGGACGATAGAAGATTGGAAAAATGTTTTATTTAGTGATGAGTCCAGGATGGTTCTTTATGGCTCAAATGGTCGCATCAAAACATACAGAAGACGTGGAAAACGATATGCTGCTTGTGTTAGACGAGTACGTGTTGCTTTTGGGGGAGGTTCGGTAATGTTTTGGGCAGGCATTTCATTCGAGGGCCGTACTGATCTCGTATTTATTGATAGAGGAGCGTTGAATGCACACCGATACATTACCGAAATTTTAGACGAGCATGTAATGCCTTTTGTGTGGTTTGTCGGCGAAAACTTTATTTTTATGCAAGACAACGCGCGGTCACACTTAGCCAGGATGGTAACGCAATATCTGGAAACTGTCGGTGTGCCAAAAATGAACTGGCCGACTCAAAGTCCAGATTTAAACCCGATTGAACATGTTTGGGACCAACTCAAACGAAGGGTAAGAAACAGAATACCTGCTCCAATAAATCGTGAACAGCTTCGGCTATCCCTCATGGAAGAATGGGAAGCTTTTCCTCAAAACGTTATCCAGAATTTGA